ATTATATGGAAAGAGACTTGACATTTATTTTCTCATGACTGGTCATAAATACGATTATTTTACAGTGTAGATGGGCAAATCTAAATGGGAATTGCCTCAAACTTTCTCTGTTTACCCTGAGACTCTGAAACACAATTAAATAAAATTCAGTTGGATACAATAAATACACATTATARGTATTTTTTAACTTTTTTAAAACCTCAAATGACCTTACACAATGTCAAAAAGAATAGCTCTAAAAAGTTTATATAAAAGAGCTCTAGGTTCAGAATGTATTCAGGTCAGCAGATACCCAAATTCAAATAACAGAACTGCATTGGAACCAAAAATAAGTGATTGATTTTTTTTTTCGTTTTTGTACAGAACTTACGGATGTAGTTAATCTAACCTGTGGCTGTTTTGTCAGCTGTGTTTCAAAACATCTGAATAATAATTAGAATGAAAGAAGATGTGGAACCAACAGAATTCTGCTCTGGAAAAGTTTTTTCTGTGCACACCCTCCGCGTCGTCTTTCTTTCTTTTTTGTCCTACAGATATTAGCTGACAACTCTGATAATCCAAGGGATTTTCACCTCTTTTACTGAACACGCAGCTCAAAAAAACAACTCTGATCACTCACTATAGGGAAATATTGTTTTTTTCTCCTTTTATACACGTATATAAAACCTTCAAATATATTCTCCTACTTTGCTGCATTTTTCAAAATGCAATGCGTTTTATTTAGACTTTTTTATATGCCTTTTGAATCACATGTGCACATCTATGTGTTAGATACTCAAAGATCCCTTCACACACTTACGCACGTTCTCACTTGCTGGCTTTAGAAAGTGTCAAATGACCCAATGTGTTAAAAGCATTAGGTAAGCACAGATCCAGCAGTGCTCCACAGCCTGATATCATGTGTCTTGCTTCATTACAGTCTGGTGTATACATTCAGCGGCATCTCTGACCCTCCATCTATCCATCCCTCTCACTCCACTGCCTCTATTTTCCTCCCTGAGGTGCTTTAACACAGAGCGGGCCATCTCGAGATGTTAGCAGAAGAATAAATGAGCTCTCTTGTTATGGTAAATGCTGGGCCAAGCTGCTCGGCAGCGGGGCTCGTGTAAGCACACCTTCACTCAGGTTAGATAAATAGGAAGAACATTTAATATAAAGCACACATTTCTAAAAGAAAGGGCTACTCCTGGTAGCAAATCTAAGAAAAGCTGGATCTGCACAAGTAAAAGGGGATGAAGGGACGGGTGAAAGTAATTAATTTAAATAATAACTTTAACTTTCATAAAATAACCCTTCCACAAGGGAGGTGTCCTTTTCCCCCTGAAGCTATTTTGGGTCCTGATATGACATTAACTGCTGAAAGGGAGCTGACCAAAACCAGCTGAGTGGCGTGTGTTTGAGGCACACAGGAGGACCTGGAGAGGGAACGAGATCAAAGCAGCYGGGCTGTAACCTGCAGCTCGCCGACTGTTACCTCCAGCCCCGTCAGAGGCAGTGAGGAGGAAATAACGATACACCTCACATCCCACAGCTGCATATGCACAGGGCAGCAAACACACTGAGGCCTTTTGCTCCAAGGTTCACCGCAGCTCTTGGSCAGCTGCGCCAAACTTGTCTCACCCTCGCAAGCGAGCCGGTAGGGCAAGGTTAACATTAGCACTTTTCTCCCCTCATAAGCAGTTTACAGTGTGAATGCAGCCATTTGTGTTAAGATCTCAGGTGAAAAATTGCAATCCAGGCTAAGATCAGCCAGCCACTTTCATTCGCTGTGCTTCCAGCAGACAAATATTACATGTGTAAAGTTGACAGCAACYACTCTTATTTGCACATGAAAACAATTTACTCAATGAATCTCATCTGAACGGGCCGTGGTAGCTCAGTGGTCGGTGACAGTGTTGTAATCCTGACGCTGCGATTTCAAACCCTGGTTGCACCATGTAGGGCAGCTGGTGTAAAACAAAGGAAATCATAGACACCTTTTTGACAAATGGAAATGAAGAAAATAAAAGGAGATGGGTTTTCTGGTAAATGTGGAACTTTGGAGTCAAGTAGAGTCATTTGTATTTGTTTTTCTTTGTCTCTTTGTCAATAACATTATGTACGGCCTTTCTTAAACGTTTTCTTTTGAAAAGAGGTATGGCTTGTGTGGTAGCTCTTTGTTCTTCCAGGAAAATTTGCATCCTTTCCAATTGATGTCATTTACACACCTGCCCAAACATTTTTGCGGCCAATAACTCTGCCCGCATGGAAGCAACCCTTCCCTACACTGCCAGTCTTAATCCCACCTCCACCTTCTCTCAGCAGGACAAAAACAGTGAACTCCACGAAGAGGWGGTCACAGCCTCCTAACTCTTTAGATGCAGGTCTATAATCAACATCAACTATGGATGRACACATTCCAGTCTCAGACACTCCAGGATTCCCTCTAACATTCATTATTATGTTCATATTTTATACCCAGAAACGAGTGTAAACATTCTGACACACATTGATCATYGCTCAGTATCAGCTATCAAAGTGATCATTGTTTCTCCCACCTCTCTGTCTGTCTCCAGTGGTCCTACGCGCTGGAGAAACCGAACACAGGCAGCGTGTTCAGCTTGTCCTGGTCGGCGGACGGCTCCCAGCTGGCCGGGGCCTGCGGAAACGGACATGTCATCTTTGCTCATGTGGTGGAGCAGCACTGGGAGTGGAAGAACTTTGTCATCACTCTTACCAAGAGGAGAAGCATGGAGGTAAGAGACYGAGAGCCTGAAACAACCTCGGTTAGTTTGTTGCTCCTTTTGTCTTTGGACTTGAATGTGTGTACAGAACCATAAAAGTGCAAATGCAGAATATACAAGCAAATAAAAATAATAAACTTTCACAAGTAGGACCGTTATGAACATTTTCTTTAAAATTTTTACTTTTGGGCTTCACAGTGTGTTTCATTTCATTGGAGTGTAGCAAGGTATGACTAAGTAATCACAATAATCTTACTAATGCATAACCAGTCTCTCATGCTGATTTTTAATGACATTTAATGGTTTATAGAAGTTACAGGACTGTGAAATTGATTCTACTAATTCTCTGTTTTATTAATTTTTACACTGCCATCATTGTATGGTTATTACAGAAGAAATTTTACAAGCTTTCCTAAAGAATTTCGCAAGGCCGCACCAGAAGTTCTGCAGTTGTTGCTTTTATTTGCATTTAAAAATAAWCACAAAATTCTTCAAAACTACGTAATTCTAAATTGACAGCAATGTAAAGATTTTTACTATAGAGTTTGCAAAGTAGTTTTAAGATAGCAGCAGTCCACTCAGACTTGCTGTTAGCTCCTCAGTCCAGGCAGAAACAAAAAACCTTTCTTCGAAATAAAAAGATACGTTTAATTAGATTAATTGTTTGTAACTTCTCCATAAAACCCCACTTTAAAAAAAATCTGAACTATTGCGCTAAGGATAGTTTTGAGAAGCAGATGTCTTCCTAGTTTTTTTTTTTAAGTTGTGGCCGTTTATTAATATATAACGACCCTCCAGGGCACCAGCGTGCACCCCTTTGATGACAACGGTCAGCCTGTCTGGCTGCCTTCCTCGCTCCTCCACTCCCTACTGTTTAAACTCACACTAGAGCACAAGGTAGCATTTACATGCAGTTAACACGCCCAAGTGTACACACACCTAAKGAAACAAGGTCACACACGTGCACCAGCACACATGTGCACACATCTGCCGTCAACAAGTGCAGTTTGTTTAAAACCAAACAATGTTCGGTCATCAGCAGTTTATTTCCAGCCTTGTTGGCGCTTTTCCGTCTCCCTCTCCCCCCACCCCCTCACCGACCAATATAAAAGTGCACATCTGCCAGTAGTTTGTGAATCAGCCGGCCAAATTTACCACCTCGCGGTCAAATTTTATTTATTCCTGGTTGTGTTGCATGTAAATTTGGATTGCTGCAGGAAGCATGGGAGGAAGATTTGTAAAGTGGTAAAAATAACCCCACCTTTCACCTGGTGCTGGAAAAGGCCCCTTCAGTTATTCACACACAGCTAGAGAGAAGTATTTCTCTATGTCAAATAAAAAAGAGTGCCCTCTTGTGCCCTTYCTTTTTTATAAACTATAAACATTTTCTCTTTAGAGTAGCATTTATGCCTGTTCAGAAATCTCTATGAAGTCAAATGATCCCTTTTTTGCCTTTTTCTTGGGGCCTTCTTTTTCACAGGTGAGGAATGTGCTGAATGATGCGGTTGACATTTTGGAGTTTAGAGATCGTGTCATCAAAGCCTCTCTGGCATTCGATCACCTGGTGGTTGCCACTTCCCTCCAGTGTTACGTCTACAAGTCAGTTCTTTTTCTTCGCTTCTTGTTTTTTTGAGCTTATCTGAAGTTTTTATATGTCATAGTTTCAAAGTTCTGGATTTTGTGGAAAGCTTGATTTTTGTTTAAGTTTACTGTCAGAAGTTGGAAGATTGAGATGCAGTTTGAAAAACTCAAAACGTGCAGCTAACGTCTTACCGAGGAAAGACTCTGTAAAGAATTTTGTTCTAAAGAACAAGAAAAACAAAAAAAATCACGATGTTGATTTGACTAACGTCATGGTCGATGAAGGAACAGTAATTTTTACGTTATATTGTTTGACTAATCACATAGAAAACCAATTTCATTTGTAGATATATTTCCTATCATTTTATTGACACTTCTTCAGGGTTTTATTGCTTATAACAGCATGACTTTTATTTTTATTTTTTACTATGACTTTTTAAAGTGTGGTTGTGTGGAAAGGCTACAGTTAATATCTTTTTATAGATTGCTTTTTTAAACAATCTTGGTTTAAAAAAATCCTAATTTAATTCTGACTAAACATGAGTAGCTAAAACTGATGTATATTGTTAATATCTTAAAATAGCTCTGATCAAAAGATGATTTGCAAACTTTTGCTTTGTAGTTTGTCAGTCTGCAGATTTGATAACCACTGTTTCATTAAAACTTTGCACCCCCTGCTGATATAAGGCCAGGGACTCAGGTCATGAATCACTGGTTTATAGCGTCTTCCTAGTTATGAACTCTCTTTTTTTTCTTCCCAAAAATCAAAGTGTGTGATTGTTCTGTTTATTCACAACAGCTCAAGAAACTGGAATACTCCTCTCATCTTTGATCTGAAGGAGGGAACGGTCAGCCTCATCCTGCAAGCAGAGAAGTGAGTCCTCCGACTCCAGGAGCTGTGCAGCCAGAGACAGAACAGGCCGCTGGATCGTCTGTCAGCTTCTCTAATGCTCCATTACTCTCCTCTGGCCACTCATCATGCAGCACACACACACACACACACACACACACACACACACACACACACACACGCGTACAGGGTGTGCTCTAGCTTAGCCCCCGTCATACAATAAGGCTGAGAGTGAAACCACTGGGGGAAATTAGATTAATATGGAGTAGCTCTTGTGCAATTCTCCAGTGCCTTCTCTGACACTCAGCATAGAGCTAAACTGATTAGTAGCTATTCCGTAATCGCAGTTGAGTTCGATACATCTTGCTTAGTAAGTTAATGCTGTGTTAATGTGRGGTGCATTATAAATCACCTGAATGTGTCAGTTAATTATGTCTTCATTCTTTTACATCCTAACGTTTTATCTGCTTCACGTTTCCCTGTGCCCCCTCGTTATTTCTCCCAGTGCTACCATTCACTCTCATCCTCCGTGTCGTCCTCCCTCAGACTTTTTTTACTGGTGGACGGATCAGGGCTGTATACGTTCTCCTACGAGGGTCGATTAATATCCTCCCCAAAGTTTCCTGGAATGAGAGCCGATATCCTAAACGCTCAGGGCGTCTCGCTCAGCAACGACACGCTCGCCGTCCGAGACAAGAGCGATGAAAAAGGTGAGGAGCCTCTTTGACAGCATTCATTCAGAAAAGTCTCACACGGTGCTTTTATCATTTCTCTTCTCCTTGTCAACAGTCATCCTTTTCTTTGACGTCTCGACTGGAAAAGCTCTCAGTGATGGGAAGCCCTTCACACACAAGGTGGGTAATTCTTTCCCCGTGTTCAGACCAAATGAGTTTAGGAAACATCAGCAAGGAAGTCATCCAAGCCCACTTCTTTTCTTTTTTTTTCTTTGGACTGAAGGTTTAAAAGTGAAATGTTCACTGTTCAGCTACATTCTGGGGGACATCTGAATAATAAATAAAACTCTAAAGTCCTTTGAACCACCAGAACTGAAAGAATTAAATGAATATCTTTCAGCCATGACACCTACTTTAGGCAGAATATTATAACAGTTATGTTTTATTTATGTTTCTAAAACATGATCTAACACAACTTTTTAACTGTGACCTCAGCTGTCACAGGGTTGAAGTAAATAAACTTCTCAAAGCTAAATAAACAAGTGTGTAATGATAACAAAAAGACTCTTAACAACACTTCTATATGATTTATTTATCTCGGACCGTTTTTTTCTCTCAAATATGTCAAAAACTGGCAAGTATGAATAATTTTTCTATTTAATTTGATTACCAAAGATCATCTTAGAACCTCATTTGTGACACAGTGGGGTCATGATCCCACCTTTGATAATCAATAATCTAAAAAAACCTTTATACTAAGGGTTACTTGTTTCACTGAAACACGTATTTTTGACCAAGACTCATTCACGTGTAACAAGCTAAATTTCCCAAACCAGACTTTCAGAGACATAAATTTTCAGACTTCGAGTGGAGAAGGTTTTAGTATTTGTGAGTGAATCAAATTTCTCTCTTAGAAATAGGCTTTTTTTAAACAAAATTTATTATAAAAGGTCTCGCTTCTTTTTCCTTTTAAAAAGCAGTGGTGTTTGTATTGTAAAAAATCGTTCAGATTGGAAGCCCGAATAATGCGCAGAAAACCGATTAAGTTCTCAGTTGAATGTTTATTTTCAGATCTAAAGACTCCATTTCCACTCCAAGACTGTCTGTGGCTTCAGAGATCTAAAACAAAATGGCTCCCAGCTTACATGTTCTTACAATATTTACAGAAAGCCTACACCCCAGATATGATGCCATACCCCTAAAGGGAGTACCCTTAAAAYCAGTTTAGCAGTCCTGAAATGTAAAATATTATGAGTTTACTCTGCTGGAGTGAGGCACGTTAGTGGCTTCCCACACTTTTCCTTTCTCTGATCATTTACCAATGTCATTCTGTCCTCTCTACCTCCTTATCTTTGTTTGTTTGTTTGTGTGTATTTCTGCAGATGGAGGTGGTAGAGATAGCTTTGGATCAGTGTGGCCCATCCACCGAAAGAAAAATTGCTTTGATAGACAAGAACCGTGATCTTTACTTGACCTCTGTGCGTCATCTGGGGAGAGAACCCAAAGTCTGCAAAATTGGTAAGACAAGCGCCACGAAACAGGCCTTTCCAATGTGTGTAGTAACAGTTTTTATACACGTGTGTCTCTAATGGGGACTGTGTCCTGTCTCATAGGCAGCATGGTTCATAGTATGGCGTGGAATAACTCTGCTAATATCTTATGTGGGATCCAGGACAATCAGTTCACGGTGTGGTACCACCCAAGTGTTGTCTTCACCGACAAGGAACTGCTACCAAAAACACTACACGTTAAGGACACCAGGTAAACGTGTGTGGTTTGTTTTTCTCTACAGATAAAACATTTGCTGCCATTTTAATCAGCTCTAACCTCAAAAGGTTTATAGCAGATCATGCAAGTGTTTATTATGTTTTCTTTTTTTTCAATTTGTAAATATAAATAGCAACAGCAGCTAGTGGTAGCTTTCACTCTGCAGCCTGAAACATGATCTGAAGGACTATTATAATATTTCATTCTGATTTATTGTGTAATACAAATATTTGAGACTGATGTTTCAAGATGGCAGCAACTCTCTTTGGTCTTAGACCAAACACAAGTTAACAGTTAGCTGTTAGCTTGTGTTTCCAGTCAAACCTATGCTATTTCTTCAAGCTGAAACCATTCAAAGAGCCATCTACAATAGTTAAGATATTAATTGTTCACAGCGCTTCTATTGAAGCCCACTTCAAAAGATTAGCTCTATCACATTACCCTTCAAAGCCTGTTAGAACTGATAGTTCGTACAGCTGAATTTGTAACTAAGAAGTGAGAAGCAGGAGGCTTTTTTGCACCTTCCAGCTTGTTCAACGAGGCAGAAAAACTGGAAGCTGCATTGCTATTTCTTAATTTTAATTTTGCTAGTTGTTGCCAAACTGTAAAACGCTTCCTTCTCAAAAGTCCTTCACTTCAGCCAGCACAGGGGTAGAGCAGGCTGCACGCCTGCACTCAGGCAATCCTAAACCCCCTTTTGCACGTCTGCAACACTAAACTGAATGGCACAGTAAAAGAGACAAAATCTAGACAAATAAAAATCCTACCAGAGCAAAGTTTCTGGTCCAGTAATATACTGGAGATAACTGATTCTACCTAGGTGAGCGTAACCCAACGAACCTGCTGCTCCTACTTCCACAGCATTAGCGTTAGCATAGCAAGGCTACCAACCTGCTGGGACTGTATTCAGCTGGTGTTTATGTCTGTGATCTCCTCACACACAGTGAGCAGGAACTATGTTCTGTTCTTAAAGTTCAGATGGATTTATTCATATGAAGATAAATCACATTAATCTATAAACGTTGCTGAACGCTCTGTTTTTTTTACACTTTTGCATATATCTATATTCTCAAGACTTGCAGAGGTAAAAGTACATTGCTGAGTATATATTGTTGTTTTTTATGTTCTAACTCATGTGTCTGTGTAAAGTGACTTCAGCCATTCTCCCCACATACTGAGCTACATCGGCACTAAAGTGACATTACGCCAAGGAGACGGTTCACTGGTGTACAGCAGTGTACCTCCGTACGCCGCCATCCTGCACGAATACAGCACGTCAGCGCGCTGGGAGGACGCACTGCGCCTCTGTCGCTTTGCTAAAGTAAGACATCAAAACACCTCCTAGTGGGTTTTTGGAATTTCTACTAGATCATAATTTTACCTGCTCCAGTGTCATTATCAGCCTTCATTATTATTGGCTATAACTCAGCAGAGTTTACAGAATTGGACATAAAGTTTGGTGTGTTCGTATCTGAGACTGATCCTCCACACATAGTCTGAGCAATAACAGTTTGTTAGCAAAATGTCATAAACTTTTAGAAGGTAATAATTAGCTGTACAGTTATGACTATCGATAATTAACTTTTAGAGGTAATCTAATTCAAGATGGCCACCACAGCCAAATGTCATTAGAAAACACAAAGTTAGAATCAACCCTGTGTGTCTGTTAGCAAAATATCTCATAAACCAACAGACAGATTTTAATAAGATTTTCAGGAAGTAATCAGTGGATATTAATAAACTTTACAAGTTGGTCTAAATCAAGATGTCTGCCACAGTTAACTGATATTAGCCATTATGAAAATGGGTAAACCGTTAAAATTTTAGTTAAAATTTAATGTGGTAGTAGCTGAGAGTCATTCACATCACCTACTCTGAGCACGATGTCCTGCAATATCACAGCATAAGATTGTATACAACATTATTTTCAAGGTTTGACCAAAACAGCTCCAACTTTTCTCATTTGTTAACGTACGGTCTGAGCACTTCTGTCCTGCAGTCAGAGGGTCGACACCGTTCAGGTTCATGTGATATATGTTCACCACATGTATGTGAGAGAGAGCAGTGAAGCGCAATAAGAAGGTAGTGGACAAGTTTATGAGACCAGAGCAGCAGGCTTGAATTAGCCTGCAATTAGTCTGGTGACAGCATTTACCGGATGACCCCCGCCTCCACACACACACACACACACACACACACACACACACACACAC